AATATGAATGAAGTGTAAAACCACATTTCATTCTTTCAAGTAGTAAAAATATTCCCTCCACTATTCAGTTGAGATTTTATCTCGGCATACCCATCCTTCATAAAAGGGTATTCAAGGACATGTCTATCTCAGTGATCGACAAGATGGGGAGGAATTTGGCTAATTGGAAGGCTAGCACCTTGAGTATGGTTGAGAGAAGGGTCATGGTTTAGGCCTCCCTAGCTATAACCCCAACGTATATGATACAAGCATTGGCCCTCCCAATCAATCTTGTAACCACATTGACAAGATTTGTTGGAATTTCCGTTGGAGTCACTCAGAAGAAGACACCAGGAAAATACATACAATGAGTTGGTCCAAAGTGTGTAAGCCCCGTGTTATTGGGCGGGGGGGGGGGGGGGGGGGGGCTTGCATCCGACGGGCCAACGACTTCAATCTTGCCTTCTTGATCAAATTGGTTTGGCAAGTGACCTCTTGCCCAGATAAGTTGTGGGTGAAGGCTCTTCGGAAAAAAAAATATGTGAAAACAATTGAGTTTTTCTCCATCTCTAATAAATGAGATACTTCCTGGTGCTAGAAGGGCATTCTCAAGGGTAGAGATATCTTGGAACGGGGCACGAAGTGGAAGGTAGGTGATGAGAACTCCATTGAATTTTGGAGGGAATGGTGGGTCGAGGACAAACCACTGATTGAGTTGTCGAATGTGGATATCCCCCCTAACCTGGAGAATGTTCAGGTTAACCTTTTCATAACAGGTAATAAAGCCTAGAATACAGACACACTAGACCGGGTCCTTCCAGCCAACATGGTAAGCCATATTAGGCAGTTAGGATTTGGGGCTTGTGAACCTAGTCTTTAGCTTAAATTCCTATCTTTGTGTTAGTCTGGTTGTATATATAGGTACGTTGTTTACCCTTATTCAATACACACAAATATTATTTTCACCAATCTGGTTAGGGGTGAGCAAACGGTCGGTCAGTTACATAACCGACCAAAAAACCGAAAAACCGATCGTAATTTTAGACCGTCATGACCGACCGAAACCAACCGAAATAGTACTATTACCGACCAAAAAACCGACAATCAGTTTCGGTCGGTAACCGAAAAACCGACCATTCCCAACACCTCACTGATTCAGATCGATGGAGTGAACACCGTACCCAGGAGGAAGTGGCATGGAACCTGGGAAAGCGCATGGCCTACGTCTACAAGGACCAAGGTAAGACTAATTAACAAGAACGGCTCTCACTACCGCTGCATCTGCAAAAAGGTCTGCAGACCTCAAGGCAACAGTGGCGTCTTGTTAGATTAAATTAATTTTGCTCATTTTTTGTATACTTACACATGATTTATGCAGCGTGCTTTTGTTTACCTTGTTCGTCCCAGCACAAAAAAGAATTCTTGGCAGAATGTTTGGGCAAAATCAATATAAAACTTAACACTTAATGATAAATGATTGTACTTTATCTTTATATATATATATATATATATATATATATATATATATATATATATATATATATATATATATATATATATATATATATATATATATATATATATATATAATCGGTTATCGGTCGGACCGATAACCGAAAGGCTATAACCGCAAAATAACCGAAAATTCGAAAAACCGATTTTTTAAAAGATCAATAACCGAAACCGACCGAAAACTGTTTTTTTCGGTCGGTTCGGTTATCGGGCGGTTAACCGATATTTTGCTCACCCCTAAATCTGGTATCAGATAAGCTCTGTTGATCCCATGGCCTCTAATGAAAGCCCTTCACATGCATCCGATACTCCCACCGAAGAGGCTCTTGCCACCACCTTTTCACCGGAAAATGCACCACGAACCACCCCTTCTTCCAATATGTTGAACCAAGCTCATCACTACGTCTCCATTAAGCTGACCGCCTCGAACTTCCTATTCTGGAGAGCGCAGCTTGTGCCGTTCTTACGCGGTCAGAACCTATACGGTTTCTTGTCCGCCGGAGATCATGGATGTGTCGTCCTCCGATGCCCCTCCGGTCACCAACCCTGCACATGCTCAATGGATTCAATAAGATCAATCCATTTTGAGCATGTTATTCTCATCTCTTGCAGAAGAGGTCCTTAACTTAGCCATTGGCCATTCAACGTCTCGATTGCTGTGGATTGCCGTCAAGACTGCGCTGGGTTCTTCATCGAGAGCACGGTCGCTAAGCCTCCTCACACAACTCCAGAATCTGCGCCAAGGTGATTCCTCCCCGTCCGACTATCTAGGTAGAGCACGGGTCCTCATCGAACAACTCATGCAAGCTGGCCGGTCGGTCTCCCTTGATGAACAGAATCTTCATGTCTTCAGGGGGCTCCGACCGGAATATCGTGGACTGGTTGCCTCCTTGACCGCGAACAGCAATCCCTTGACATTACCGGAGGTTGCTGACCTCCTGGCCACTCACCAGTACCTTTTTCCAGAAGAATCCCAGTCCACCGCAGTTGCATCGCTGGCGGTGTTCTTCACTCAGCAACCACCGGTCGCCCATGGTCGCGGACGGAGTCATCGTGGACAGCGGGGGAGGGGGTAGCGTGGTTGTGGTGGTATACGCTACCAGATTTGCGATATCCCCGGGCATACAGCGTTGACATGTTATATGCGTTATTCAGACGGCACCGACGGTAATCCTCCTCCACCCGCAGTTCGTCTTCATGCCTCGCGTGAAAATATGGCCTATCATCAGGATGATCTTAACTCTGATCCCTTCACTAACGTCTGGTTACCAGAAACAGGAGCAAAAGCCCATGCTACTCCAAATCAGGAAGTTATGAATGACACAGAACCATACACAGGCACAGAACACCTAAAGGTTGGCGACGGTACAGGTCTGTCTATCCTCAATACAGGTTCAGTATCTATTCCCAACCCTGTTACGGTCACTGTCTCTAAATCATATATTGCATGTCCCAAAGTTGTGTGCGTCATTGTTGTCAGTTCAAAAATTCACAAAAGATAATCACGTTTATTTTGAATTTCACCCAACTTGTTTTCTTGTGAAGGACCAGGTCATCCGTCAAACGCTCCTTAGAGGTCCCAACATTGGAGGGATGTATTCGCTAAGAACGTCATCTCCGGTGGCTATAATATCAGCGAAAACGTCACCTCAAATCTGGCATAACCGCCTGGGCCATCCACATATTCGGGTCATGCGTCAGATTTTATCTGGATGTTCAGTCAGTAGGCCGTTGAACTCTATGAATAATGCTTGTACCATGTGTCAAATGGCAAAGTCCACACGCTTTCCCTTATCCCAAACTAAACATACAACTAAATCTGTCTTGGAATTAATTTATACCGACATTTGAGGACCTTCATCAGTCACATCAATTGACGGTTTTAAATACTTTGTCCTATTTGTCGATGATTTTTCAAGATACATTTGGTTTATCCAATGAAAAATAAAATCGACATTTATCCTATTTTTTCTCACTTTTGTTCCCTAGTTGAAAAATACTTCTCCTGTCCCATTAAAAGCATCCAGTCAGACCTGGGGGGTGAATACCGCAAGTTACTTTCGGTGTTCACGACCGTAGGGATTTTACATAGACAGTCGTGTCCTCACACGCATGAACAAAATGGCCTGGTTGAGCGCAGGCATCGTCATGTCGTGGAGACAGGATTGGCTTTGTTAGCCCACAGTCAGGTTCCCCATAAATACTGGTCGTTTGCGTTTGAGTCGGCCGTCTATTTAATAAATCGTATGCCAACGTCCGTGTTACAAAATCATAGCCCCTATTCCCGTCTTTTCCAAAGGTTACCAAACTACAATTTTCTCCGAGTCTTTGGTTGTGAATGTTTTCCCTGTCTGCGCCCCTATAACCAACATAAAATGGAGTTTCGTTCTGTGTCATGTGTGTTTTTGGGTTACCTCGACTCTTTTAGTGGTTACAGGTGTCTTGACAGGGATTCAGGGCGAATTTATATTGCTCGTCACGTCAGATTTAACGAGGATGTGTTTCCTTATAAGTTGGCAGCAGAATACTCCCGGCGGACCACTGGGAATGTTTCCTCTTTCCCGTGGGCATGTGCCTGTGTTTTGCAATCGGACACCGGTGGCAGTACACTCCAGTCGGCTGCCGGTGGCAGTGGTCTCCCGGCTCCGTCACTACCGCTTAATTTGCCTCCTTCTGGAAGCGCTGATCCACCACTACAAGCGACATCATCAGGTGATGCCACATCCTCGTCTTATCAGCCGTCCACTTCCTCGACAGCAACAACTCGGACTAGGAGGAAACGCTCACCGACAAGAAAACATAACATGCAGCTGCGCACAACGACAAACCAACAAAGGCGCCCTCCCCGAGCCATGATTGCCTCGGTTGATGACGATGAACCCACATGTCATTCCCAAACAGTTAAGAGCCCGCATTGGCGTACCGCTATGGATGCGGAGTTCAATACCCTTCTGCAGAACCAGACGTGGACTTTAGTTCCCTTTGATGCTTCTATGAATGTAATAGGTAGCAAATGGGTATATCGTATAAAACATAAATCAGATGGCTCCATCGATAGATATAAAGCTTGCTTGGTTGCCAAGGGTTCAACCAAGTACCAGGCATCGATTATTCAGAAACTTATAGCTGGTTGTTAAATCGGCTACCATTCGGCTATTACTAGCCTATGCTGTTTCGAATAACTGGACCATGAAGTAACTTGATGTCCATAATGCGTTCCTAAACGGGCACATCACGGAGGATATCTACATGCGACAGGCACCCGGCTATACCAATCCAAGGTACCCCAACCACATATGCAAACTACTACGGTCGTTATATGGCCTTAAGCAGGCACCCCGTGCTTGGTTCCGAAGGCTGCATGATTTTCTTGTTAGTGTAGGGGTTCGCCCGTAAAATCAGACGTGTCTCTGTTCATTTATGATCCTGTCCAGGTTCAAATCTACATCTTAATATATGTAGACGACATTCTGTTGCTTGGTAATGATACCACATAGGTAGAAACAGTAATGACGCAGCTCTCTTCAACCTTTAGAATCTGTGATCTTGGTATACCGCAGTTCTTCCTTGGCGTTAAAGCTCTGTACACTCCTGGTGTTGTGGTGTTATCCCAACGCCGTTATATGACAGAGCTGCTTCGCAAAGCCGGGATGGACTCATGCAAACCTCTAGCCACACCGATTACAGCGGCTACGTCTACGCCCTCTGTGGACTCATCACCTATGGATGATCCTACTCTTTATCGCCAACTCGTTGGCTCCCTAATGTACCTCCTTGTCACACGGCCAGACTTGTCATTTGCGGTTAATCGGCTATGCCAGATCATGCACGATCCTAAGCAGGATAACTGGGTTGCGCTTAAACGCGTCTTGAGGTATGTCAAAGGGACACAACATCTAGCTCTTCGTCTCACTGGCTCAGCATCTCCAGTGGTTCACGCTTTTTCAGACTCCGATTGGGCTGGCCGTTCACTAGACAGGAAATCTACAGCAGGGTACGCGGTGTTTATTGGCCCCAATCTGGTTTCTTAGAGTTCCAAAAAACAACGCACAGTTGCACGCTCTTCAACTGAGGCGGAGTACAAAGCACTAGTCGATGTGTCGGTGGAAGTCGTCTGGATTCAGTCACTACTTCGGGATCTCGCTTTGGACTGTCTCACCATCCCAGTACTCTGGTGTGACAACCTCGGTGCCACCTACCTCTGTTCGAATCCCGTTTTCCACGCCCGGACTAAGCATGTGGAAGTAGACTATCACTTCGTTCGAGACAAGGTTACGTCCGGGGATCTCAAAGTGAACTTCGTCTCTACTAATGACCAGCTTGCAGACATCTTCACCAAACCACTCTCTGCCTCCCGGTTTCATGACCTCCGTTTCAAGCTCGGCGTTGTACCCTGTCCGCCTTCCGCTAAAGGGGGGTGTATTAGGCAGTTAGGATTTGAAACTTGTGAACCTAGTCTTTAGCTTAAATTCCTATCTTTCTGTTAGTTTGGTTGTATATATAGGTACGTTGTTTTCCCTTATTCAATACACACAAATATTATTTTCACCAATCAGCCACATTAGAGCTAATGAGACTAGAAAGATGTGTTGAGTTGGCCACACTCAGGTACGAGATGTTTTTCGATTATGTCTGCGTATAATCTTATTGCATGTCAATCAAAGGATGAGATAGACTATGGATGGGTTTGGCGTGCTCGTTGTGTTGAAAAAGTGTTGTTATTCTTCTGGAAAATCACTAAGAATGGGGTGTTTGTCAATGAAGATAGGAAAAGAAGTGGACTGACTCAGGATGATGGTTGTCTGAGATGTGGGAAAGGAGTGGAAACCCTGGATCACCTGTTCAGGCGTTGTGAGATGGCGATTGACAACTGGAACCAATGGCCTACGTCTGCAGGTTTCAACGTTGGATCCCATTCGTCGTTGTTGACTTGGATTGAGCAGAACTGTTAGGGTACCAACGGTACACGGGCGAATGGTCGATAGAAATGGGTATTCTCATATATGTAGGTTCTGGCACACGTGGTGGTGAGGCGAGCGAGGAAGGAGACAGATGAAGCGCAACAAGTCCTTCTTAAGCAGCAAGGCCACAGGTCGGGTAGACAAGTTTGGGTCAGTTGGTCGCCTCCGGAGCAAGGCTTTGTGAAACTCAATACTGATGGGGCAAAAAAAAAAACGAGCTCATGCATGGCTAGTGCAGGAGGTGTGATCTGTGACCATAATGGAGAGTGGATTGTGGGGTTCATATCCAAGGTTGGCATCACAAATAGCTTCATCGCGAAACTTTGGGGTCTTAGGGAGGGGCTCCTGCTAGCTAGAAGTTGAGGGTTTAACAGGATCAAAGTGGAGACGGTCTCAGAACTATGGTTCACACCATTAGAGGGGAGGGGGCCTCTCGCCCAAAGGCCAATACTCTAATTATTGACTGCAAGACACTTTTGGGGAAAATCCGGGATTGTGACATCAATCATATCCTTAGGGAAGGGAACTAGTGTGCTGATTATCTTGCTAATCTAGGACAACTAAACGATTTGGGGACGAGGATCTTGGAGCAACCTCTGGCAGGGCTTGAAGATATCCTAGAGAGGGAGGCCATAAGTGTCCCGACAAGGAGAATTTACTAATTTCTTGGGGTCAACCGGTTCCTCTACCGCACATAAAAAAGAAAAAAAAAAGAAAAAAAAAACTTGTTGCACGGGTTTATCTCACTGATTTAGTAGGCAGTATTTGCGAGAAGAGACCAAGGTTCGAAACTCGGTAGCGACAGTGTGGGAATTATGCCCAAACTAGACAAATTCCTTGTGCGCACCGACATTTGACCTTGTCTGTTGAGCCACTAAGTTACCGTGTGTTAGGAATAAAGTGTAATGGTTTTGATATGCCAAATTTGTATTTGTAGATCCCCCAATTTTATTTCTAGGTCTAGTAGAGTCTTAGACCATGATCGGGAAATTATTTAATTATCAAAAGAGAAAAACAGAAGAAAATGGATGAAAATAGAAGAAGAAGATATAAAGCCGAAAATCAAGAATTTGTCTGGAGAAAATGACAAATTGAAGAAGAAGATGAATGATACAATATTCACGTCGCTACTACTCAAAGAAGATATCCCAGAAGAATTTTCGTGAAGAAAATTAATATTGGAAGAATGCATGAAGTTGACTTAGAGATCAAGCATCTATGGAAAGAAAGAAGTACATCAAATGTGATTGGAGATTTAATCAAAAGTTGTATGGACGAAGTGGATGATGCTTGATATATTATTTGAAATGGCTTAAGTTCAAAACTCACCATCAACAATTTTACAAGGTAAAATTTGAGAAGTCAAATTAAATTAATCTGATGGAGTTGGGCGCTAGTTTAAGCTATGGGCGCCGATTACAAGTGGAAATTGGGTGGCAATTGAGAAGCAATTGCACTTGGGAGCCAATTCAAAAGGGAATTGGGAGCTAGTTGGGAGCTAATTCAAGTTGTAGTATGGGATGCAATTCAGATTGGGGACCAATTAAAAGAAGACATTGAGGAGCAATTGAATTGAGATAAAGTCCAATTTCGAAGTCAACATTGAGAGCCAATGTAGAATTGAAATTGGGAGCCAATTCAAGTTGTAGTATGGGATGCAATTCAGATTGGGGACCAATTAAAAGAAGACATTGAGGAGCAATTGAATTGAGATAAAATTCAAAGAGAAGTCCAATTTCGAAGTCAACATTGAGAAGTAATTGGAGCACCAGGAGATGTTGGGAGCCAATTACAAGCCAATTGAAATTGGGTGTCAATTACAAAGGAGAAATTCAAATTGGGTGGAAGTTCAAAGCCAGTTTGAAGTCTGAGAACACCCAGACGTGAGAATGAAGAAGATGAAGCAGAACTTACAGTGAAAAATATTCTCACAAGGAAAATACTAGTCTAACTAGTATGGGATTAAAATAAAGATTATTTTTGAATCCCAGAGATACAAAGACCACTTCAGAGCTGATCAGAGAAGCCATTCTACACCAAAACTGAGACCCAGATATTTCTACTCAACGTTAAAACAGAGGAATATCAGATGAAGTTTGGGAGCTCATTTACATGGAGATGAAACTCCATCAACGGCTAGCTTATCTTCTTCTGACATTTTTGCAGAAGATAAGATAAGATCTCTGACAAAAGATACAAGATTTCAAAAATGAGAGCGTCTCTTTCCAACGGACAGATTCTCATTACCAGCTATAAAAAGATGAAGATATGAAGACTTGATGTGAAGAGAAGTAGAGCAGATCACGAACTTACGAACAAGAGAGCAGAAAATTCGAATCCATCAAAGGATCGAATAGAGCAATTAAGCTTAAAAGAGCTAAAATCTTCAAGTGTGAGAAAAAAAGAACTCAGAGAGCTTCAAGAGAAAAATATTCTGAGAGTTCTTAAACAGAGCAAAGCAGAGCAAAAATATCAAGTGCTTTACTTGATATATTCAAAGAGAGAAAAACACTCAGAGCTATCAGGAGAAATCTTTCCAGAGTGTTTATCTTCATCAAAGAGACCTGCGCATCATTGAAGATCATCTACAGAGTCTCAGAAGTTGGAAGCAAGAGAACACTTGTTTTGGAGCAAAACAAGAGAAGGGAGGAAAGTAGCACGGAGCTGTGAAATCCTGGATTGTCACACGGAGCTGTGAGATCCGAAGCAGCAGTGTCGGAGGCACTGGGCGTGATTGGTGTGGGCTTAGTGATCAAAGCACCAGATCACGGATACGTTTCTACCGGAGTGTGGAAGACGGGGGGAAAGTAACGCGGAGTCGTGAAATCCTGGGATAGTAGCGCGGCGACGTGAAACCCGAAGCAGCAGTGTGGTGTCACTGGGCGTGATTAGTGCGGGCTTTGTGATCAAAGCACTAGATCACGGAAATTCATTGTATCTTGAAACCAAGGAGTGTTAGATATAGTGAATTGGCTCTTGGAGAAAAGAGCAAGTGGAGTAGGAGGATTACACCACCTCGCGAACCACTATAATTGTCTTGTGTTCTTTACTGCTTTCTTTACATACCGCTCTTTACATAATTGCTCTCACGAAGATATATCATCACACGATCTCACACACACTTTATGTTTATTTATTTCCGCTGTGCACCATACTCTAACAATCTAGTTATGAGTTTTGGTTTATCTCTGTCTTAGCAATTGTTGTGCTGTGCGAAAAAGTTTGAAAGTCTATTCACCCCCCCCCCCCTCTAGACTTTCACCTAACCTCTTTTGGGACCAACAATTGGTATCAGAGCCTGTAGCCTATTTGAGTCAGTTTATACCAACCTTTGGTATTTAAACACGTTGCCCAACTGGGTTAACTGTTTTTGACTGCTAGGCTGATCCATTCTACAAAGTGTGTGAATTGGATTAATCTTTCATATCTCACGTGATGATGATGAAGAAAGATTTAGCTCAAAATCTATTATTCTCTCTTGATAAATTTGATGATTGGAAAGTTCGTATGCAGGTACACTTATCGGCTTTACACGATGAAATGTGGGAAGTTATTTCCACTGGCCCTATAGAAATATTAAAAGTCAATACGGCGTTTGTTATATCCCCGGATGCTCCACAGTACGTACATAAGCCAAAACCGAAATGGACATCGGACGATAGAACGCGGAATAATCTTGACAATATTGCCAAGGATATTCTATTCAAAGCCGTTGATGATACAATATTTCCGAAGATCCGAAAGTGTGCCACTGCCAAAGAAATATGGGAAACTCTCATCAAGATTGGCGAAGGAGATGAACAAGAAAAAGACAATAAGCTCACAATCGCCATGAAGAAGTTCGAAGATTTCAAAATGCTCTCAAATGAAAGTGTTGCAGACATGGAAGCTCGATTGATCAAAGTTCTTGGAGAGATTAGTGATCTTGGCAAAAATATTAGCCAAAAAGAAATTAATCTCAAAATCCTACGAGGCTTACCATCTGCATGGGATATGAAGGTTAGGGCTATGCGCGATCACCGAGATCTAAGAATGTTGTCAACAGACAAATTATTTAGTGATCTAAAAGCATATGAGTTCGAAATGAAGGCCAAAGATGATGATGTACATGAAGCTCGAAATTCTGCTCTAATGGCCGAACAACCGTCAACCTCCAGGTCAGTAGAGAATAATGTTGATTTTATGACTGACGAACAATTTGCTCTTTTTGTCAAAAAGTTTAGAAGGTTTATGCGAAAAGGAGACAACAAAAATTCTGCTCGTGGAAAATTCGTCTCTCGCACCCCACAAGATGAAAAAGTCGAAGAAAACAACAATTTGTGCTACAATTTCCGCAAACCCGGACATTTTAAAATAAATTGTCCATATCCGATCGTTAGCAAGTATCAAGGCAAAAATGTTGAATCTACGCCGAACAAATCCGAAAGCAAAAGGTTCAAGCGCGACAAAAGAAAAGCTCTCGTTGGCAACGAACCAAACGAAAATGATGATTCGGAGGATTCATCATCAAGCGATGAAAGCTCATATTCGGATGATGATACGGCGCTAATATGCAAGTCAACTGAGTTGAGTACAAGTGAAGATTGTCTTATGGCTCTTGACGCAGAGGAAGAAGAGGTAAGTTCTAATTCTTTCAATTCTCGTGAATCTATTGACAATCTAATGCGAGAATGTCAAGAGATTATGCTCACTCATCCTCAACTCAAGGAGCGCAATAATATTCTAATTCTTGAACAAGAAGAAATGAATAAAAAATTGCAAGATGCTTTACTTGAAGTGAGTAAATTGAAGAATGAAAATATTCATCTTCAAGAAGAGTGTAAAGCTAGAGAGGTTAGAGAACATAATCTTAGAGCTACTGTTGCTACGTTCACCAATTCGTATAAAATTATAGATAAAATGGTGAACATGCAAAAGCCATCAGGAGATAGAACCGGAATTGGTTATGACTCCACATGTTCTCAAACCCCTCAAAATCTGACTAATTCTACTACTACTTTAAATAATAAAGTTCAAGTGGTAAAATTTGTTAAAAGTCAGAATAGCACAATGAGACAAGGACTTGGCTATCAATCAAATGCAAAGATGACTGTTGAAAGGCCGAAACAATTTAATACTACGGCAAAGCAACAAAAATTCTACAAGCAAAGATATGCCAAAGAGTCAAGTGCAAAAAGATTTCATAGAAAAGAGGGAAGCTTTTCTAGAAATAAAGTTGGGAGATTTTATCCCACTCAAAAGGATTGGTTGTGTAATAGATGTAATGTTTTTTATAGACCAAAGCAACAATCCTCTTCCCAAGTGCCAAAATATAAAAATGTTTTTCAAAACCCGGCACAAAAAATATTTTCAACAGTGAAGTA